TTCAATACAAAATAATATAACTACTGATAGGTACTAACAAATTAAGGATTTAATTTTTTTGGGGGGTGGGGGGCTTCAGCAAAGAAGCTTTATATATGAATATATAGTGATAATTATTTTGGAAAAAACAAATTACCTTCATGAAAGGGTGTTTAAGTGATTCTTTAAGTACTATTAAATGTAATTAATAGTAGACTAATGAACAGTTGCGTAAGATTTGTGATCGGGGCCCCAAGATACTCCCATGTTTCTCACCACTACGCTGAGTTAAAGTGGCTTTTCCCCTCCTTCCGAAGACAATATTTCCTAGGTACGTTCCTCTACCAAATCATCAACAACCATCGTCCTTCTTACGCCTACAACCTTCTCCAGTTCAAATCCTCAGTCCATTCCCTGTCCACAAGATCTCGACCTTTTAACATTTACATGCCTTCTCACAGATCTGCCTCATTCCAAAATTCCTTTATTGTTCGCTCTGTCAATTTCTGGAATTCCCTCACTATCAAAATTCGACATTCCCCATCCATATCCACATTCAAAACCCTCCTATTCCAATTCCTATCCCAAAAACAGTCAGATAGTTGCTAACCATTCGAGCTGATTTTAATAGAGAATTTGATACATTTTTATTTTTTTAATTCTTTATTTTTTTCGTAAAAGTGTATACTGGTCTATAAGAGCAAACAGCTTTAAGTGTCTTGTCATAGTATTAATGGTTTTGTATATAGTTTAGTTTGTTTTGTATATAGAATTTTTACCTTATATTTTTTTTACATTATTTCTTTTTTTCGATTGATTTTATTTTGGCCAGATGTAATATATTAATTTTGTTCTATTTTGTTATTCTCAAGGGACTGTGTCCCAGAATAAAGTTATTTTTCTATTTCTATTTCTATTTCTAATTACACGAACAATGATATTTTTCGAGTCAATTTATTTCAAAAGAAATGGTTATATTTTACCATTTTGGGGAGGAGGGCTTCAGCTGGAAAGCCCTTCCTCCCTTCTGTAGATCTGCCTGTGCTGGTGGGAGAAACTAGTCCAGGAAGTGGACTTTGTGGTCCTTTTTTGCCAAACCCTCCCTGATGGCTACCTTGACACATTTACCATAAAATTCATTACCAGGGCTGCGGAGAAATAAATATTGGAGGGAATAGAACCCACAATGTTCACAACTGGGCAGGCTATGACCTTTCCCCCAATGTCCTGCTCCATCATGTACTTATATAATATAGCTAAGTAATGATAACTTCTTACAAGAATAGCGGTAGCCAATGCAGGATTTAATTTTTGGGATTTTTTTTTATGTGTAATTATTCTCGAGGAAAATAAAGCTACCAGCATGAAATAATTTTTATGAGGTCCTAGAATAACAAGAACAACTAGTAGTCCAGTGCGAAAAATTCGCACAGCATATTGTTATCAAATGCCAGATTAATAAGAAAATAAAATGATGCAATCTATCAAAAGATAAAGAAATCAAATGTTACTTTATCGATAAATATAATCGACAAAGAAAACAAAAATTAATTTAAATCTTCATGTTTACAAATTTCAGTAAGCTGTATCTTTGCTAAAAATTGTCCGATTTCAATGATTTTTTTTTTCATTGTGTAGGGAATTTAGTAATCTTTTATATAATTACGGGCATAACCAAGGGAAAAGTGTGAAATTTTTTAGTTATTCGCAAATAAAGTTTGTTTTCTTTTATAACTTTTTTGGCTGAATTTTCGGGATGATTGGACTATTTTGTCCGCCTGAAGGAGAAGGAAGCCTTCGAAATTGGTGGCTCAATCTTGAGATTTGGTGAAAAATTGACGATGATATGGCTTGCCGATCAAAAACACCATCGATAAATAATATAAACTCTCGATCATAATATCTCTCGTATAAAATAATAATATCTCTCGATCATAGAGACCTCAAGTCGACTAAGCGAGACATGTATTCAATGACAGTACTACAATTAATGTAAGGTTGTGTGGATGCGAACCCTATGCCTTGCGTTATCTCGAAAATAGTACGTTTTGGGGCAACGCTGGATCCGATAGTTCCAGAGGAGGTTTTTGAAAATAAAGTATTGCGTAGAATATTCGGACCTAAGAGAGATGAGTTTACCGGAGAGTTCAGACGGTTACACAACCCGAATTGCGTGAACTGTATCCGGGTAATATAATTGATGTAATTTCATCGAGGCGAATCAAATGGGCTTGTAAAGTTGTTGGGCTTAGTAACGAGAGAATTCCTAAAAGGTTAATATTTGCTGTGCCGAATGGTAAGCGTCCGAGGGGTAGACCGAAGCGAAGGTGGGAAGATTGCATTAAAGCCGATCTGAAGGAACTGGGTTTGGACGGCGAACGGTAGAGGGGTGTGTAATAAGCGATTGGTGGTGTCGGCATCGAACCTTCGGGTTCCCTAAGCCTTTTATTATTATTATTATTATTATTTGGGGGCTTCATTCAGAAAGCCTCTTCCCTCTCACTAGTACCTTAAGAAGGTAATAAAAAATAAATCATTTATTAGACAAGGATGCTCTAAATTAGTGAAGCTTAGGAATGACATTATTGAGGTGTTTGGCGGTTAATTATTTCATTTTTTTTAAGTTTAGAATTCAATTACATCTCAAGTCAACATTTAGTTTTCTAGAAAATTTTAGTTATGCATGAATAAAATTACTTAATGCCATAATTATTTATTTTTAGAGGGTTGAAACGTTGATTATACAGAGAAATTATTTATTTATTTTCCATTAAATTTGCCACTGCGTTGTAACGCATCAAGCAAATGTGTTGGAGTTTATTCTATCTTCTTGTATTCTTAATATTTTTTTAACTTGTCAGCAGAAGATCTCTAGGCCACTGCCTTTTTAGTCATAGAGGCTCACCAGGTAACAGGGAGGAAGATAGAGATAGAACGAGTGGATTTGGATGATTGAGAGTATAAGAATGAAATGTTGTGTATGTATGATTTTACTTTTGGTATGTTCATGTCTGTGTGTATGGTGTGATTTGAAATAAATCAAGGAGCATTGAAGACTTTACGAAGTATTTTGGATTGTGTGGTTTGAATTTTGTTTGTGTGTGTGTTTTGCGGAACCCTAAAGTTCTGCTCCATATGTCCAAATAGGTCTTCGTACGGTGGTGTAGATTAGTCGCTTTTTTAGTTAGTTGAGTGGAGATCTGTAGTCTAAAAGATGTGACAGTTGTTTGTATCGTCTGGTCAGATCTTGTTTTTTAAATTTAGTGTGAATGTTCTAGGTGAGTTTTTTGTCCAAGTATAGTCCAAGATACCGTATATGTGCTTTTGAGGGAACTGGTTTATTGTCTATTGTCACAACAGGACACAAGATCTTCCTCAAGAAGAAGCTAACATGAGGTGACATGCTGAAATTGATTTTAATTCTCCATTTGTGAAACCATTTTTCAAGGTCGTGCAGGTGATTTTGAAAGGCTATTGAAGTGATAATGGGATTTCTGTGAGAGGAAAGAATTGGCGAATCGTCAGCAAAGCTATAGAGAATGGTGTTAGGGTGCTCAGAGATATCAGATGTGTAGATAAAAAATAGAAGAGGGCTTAAAACACTATCTTGTGTTATGCCCACAAGTTGAGAAAAGAAGGGAGAAATAGAGGAATCAATAGAAGAACCTGTCAAGAAAGAAAGATAGAAGTATAAAAAATCTGGTGCGTGCAACACACAACTTTCACTTACCAATCTACTTTGAATAGAAATTATTTTCTGGCAATGCTGGGCTATTATAAAAATTTTTAAGTACATTTTAAACGGAGCTAAAGCTTAAAGCTTACAGATAACAAGCCATTAAAACCATTATAATTACAATATGTCTATTTAATATATCGTCGACAGGCAATAAAAATCTAGTCACTCCGTCTGCTTTTATAAACCACACAACTTTCTTTGCTTTTATAAACCACAGAATGACTAACTCCAATTTTAACATTTTTGAGTGATGTCATTTTAGTGATATTTTTAGTTGAAAAAGTTATCTATGCAGACAATGAGAAAGTTGATTCCGGAGGTGGTGATTGCAGTGTTGAAATATAGAACTGAGAATAAAGGTATAAATTTAGGTACTTATTTCTTATGAAAGATGTTCTTAGGAAAGAGACTTTATTAAATATCTGTAGAAAAAGGTTTTTTTTAGTCTCAACAATTAAAAGAGTACATTTTAAATTTATCCAAATTTTCGCCTCTTCGGAGAAACGATTTTTTTTTTTTTTTTTTTTTTAGGAAATTCCATAAACTTTTAAAAACCATATACAACATACAATATATACCATACAGTCTATAGAAACGTAGGTTTTTCTGCATTTTTTTTTTTCTCCTTTATTAACTTATCAAATTCTTTCAAAAGTTATATGTAACATTTTTTTATAACTCTGAATAATGTGAAATGATTAACTTTTTAAAATAAACCATATTAAAGGTACTTTAGAGGAAGACATATATGAACATTGAGCATTTAAGCCCTGCAAAGTGACATCAACGGGGATAAGACTTAAATGATATTAAAGACCACTTAATTATATAATGATACACCAAGTTTAATCAAAATCGTTAGAGGCGTTTTTGAGAAAATTGTAAACATGTGTTTCAGCGTTCATATAAAGTGGCACTTCCGGTAAGCCGATTTTAACAAAAAAGTTGCTGTCACATGCGGCCCATATACAAACCTTAAATACTTAATATCAGTTTCGTACTACTTTTCGTTTATGAGCTAGACTGTTAACACACACACACAAACCATTTTGCAACACTTGGTTATTTGGACTCAGGGGACCTCAAAACATGTATTTCCGTTGAAAACTGAGATTCAAAAATTTTCACGATCGCAATACTTACCCTTACTATATATTACATATATACGTTAAGTGAAAGTAAAAATAAATAGCCATAAACTATACCGTTAAAAGTGGATATAAATGAAATTTATGAAATGGATAAATGGAAGCAACTTGAGGATATTCAATACACAAATAACTATGATCAAAATATTTATTAATAAAATATACATTTAATAATTAAGTATTTACATACAAATCAATACAATAATTTACAAAATTAAAACATATCTTTCTTTTTTTTGTTGAATAAATATACAATATTAATTTACAAGATCTATTTTTCTGAAATGTATTTGGTAGCTGGAAAATTTTGTAAGCGTGGTTTTCTTTGGATAATCTGCCTATTTCCAGCTAAACCAACATTTATAGTTGAAACTCGAGTACCACTAGAAGTGGCTGAGCCACGCTTTCTGAAGTAGATTGTAGCACACTTAACTTCATTTTTGTTCGTTGGTTGATTGATTTCTGTTTGTTCAGTCCCAGTCATCATTACCTAGTAAACACCCTGTCATATAACACTAAACAACATCAGTTCATTTGTAAAAGCAAAATAACAAGGAACAAAATGAAATTTATAACCTTCTCCAGAATGGAAAAAAAGAAAGAAAAAAGAAACAATACAAAAATAAAAAGTACAAAATCAAAAAAAATAAAAATAAAACTTTTATCAGGGGTGCAAGGTTAAAAGTTATTTTATTAATTAGTCATTTATGCATTCAAAAGAAATGATTTAAGAAAATTCATGCAAAATTAATCATTCAAGTAACCAGTTAATTAATTTTGATGGATTCTTTTAAAATAAAAAAACATGCAGAACTATTATGATCATATAACAAATACCTTGAAAGGTAATTTCATGATTAAAAACAAAACAAAATTAATTTATACATTAACGATGTTAACATTTTTATTGTTACCTTTTCATTAGTATATCTGTTAAGTTAACTGAGACCATTTTAGAGTACATTCACTGATTGCAGGGGAATGACTGTTGCTTCTTCTACCAGTTGAGGAGAAATATTTATAACCCAACAGAGATTGACATGAAAACATCACTTCCAACCCTCTTCTGGTAGTAGCTTTGTTAATTGTTTATATTGCGACACTTTTATTGTCATTGAAATTTAAAATTCAAATGAAAATTTCTGCATCCATGCTAACAACTGAAGTGAACAACAAAATAAAAACCAAGCAATATATATATATATATATATATATATATATATATACATATATTGGTGAGATAGACGGAAAACGATCTTGGATAGTTTTATTGCCGGCTGGATCTGGTAGCTCCCCACCGCACCATCCATATCGTCAAGTTCAAGATCGAGAGAATTGCTTGTTCTATCACATCCATCAGGTCTCCAGCAAAATGGACGGTGGAGTGCTGGATTTAAATTACGCTATCAAGACTTTAAAAGAGGTTTTGGATTACAATCTCTTGAGAAAAGATCTGCGACCGAAGGTAGGAAAAGCTATCGAAGTGATGGAAAATTATGTTGGTAATCTTTGTAACCAGTCATTTAGTTTGGAAATCGGGGAGGTTGTTAAAAAAGACAACCTCTCTTTAAATAACAGAATTAGTTACTCAGCAGTAGCCCAAAGGGTTGTAATGAAAGCACAAAATCGAACAGCCCATAAGGCAATTATTAAACCTAAAATATCATTAGAACCGAATGAAATTTGTAACGAATTTAAGTCTTTAGTAAATCCAAAAGATTTACACATACCTTTTCAAAAGGTTGTAGAAACAAAAAACGGATCATTAATAATACAGATCGACAGGGAGAAAGATCTCAACAAAATTTCTCAAACTATAAAAGGCTTAAGAAAAATTTCATACCATAAAATAAACCCTCGTGTTGTGAGAAACATTGAGGAAGACATAAATTTACAAAATATAACCGACTACATAACTGCTCAAAATGACGATGTTCATTTACAAAAGGATAAAATAAGACCTGTGATTATCCTCACTACAAGAAAGAATAGCAGTCGGCATGCTGTTTTGGAGGTTGATGCGGTGACTCAAGAATTGCTATTGTTAGAATCAGTCTCGGACATCAAAAGGTGAGAATTCAGGATTATTTCCAAATAAGAAGGTGCACCAAGTGCCTTAAATTTCACCATAGAAGCAAGGATTGCAGAGGGACGATAGTATGCTCGAACTGCGGAGGTCAACACGCGGCTAGTGACTGCACTTCTCAAGAAATGAAATGTATCATTTGTCAAAACTACAACAAGTTCACTAAAAGCCAAAAGAAGCGCCCCACAGAACATTCTGTATTTGACCGAAACTGCCCGTCGTACTTGACAGAAATACAGAAATTGGCATCTAATACCAACTACAAAATTCCTCTACAGTGAGTAATTAATAACCACAATATATACATAGTTCAAAATATTATTGGGGACTGTAAACAATTAATTTTTAAGGATGGTACATAGACAATTAAACATGTTACAACTCAACACACATCATTCAAAATACACATTAAACATGCTACACCAGTACATACACATGAAACAAATAGACGTTTTATTAATCCAAGAACCTTATACAAGATTAAATAAAATTGTAGGTTATAATCAGTCAAGGGTTTTTGAAACAATAGGAAGCAATCCCAGGGCTGGAGTCGTTGTGACCAATAAAAACATTGATGCCTGTATGATATTGCAACATTCTGATTGTGATTTTGTTTGCATAGAAATATCATACAGTAAATTAAAATGTATAATAATATGTGCTTATTTTGATATCACCCGAAACATAAATTTGGATTTACAAAAAATAGAACGCGTTTTGGATTATTTCAAAGATTCTAATATCATTATTGGATTGGACTACAATGCAAGATCTAAATATTGGTTCGACAAACAAACTAATGAAAGGGGTAAAAATATGGAAACTTTTATTGTTGAGAAAGATTTGTTCTTAATGAATATAAATAAGTAATATTGATTTAACATTATCTAATACAAAACTGATTAGACATAACCTTGTAAAAAATTGGACAATTTCTAGGGAAACAAATTTTTCAGACCATAACATTTGGCTTATGAGTTACATTTACAGGGAAATGATAAAACTGGAGTGCTAGCAAAAAACTATATATATTTGACAGAGAATGGTGACTGGAATAAATTCTTGACTAACTTAATACATCAATTAGAAAAACAGTTTTTATCTCGACAAGAAGGAATTGACAGTTTATGAGACCGAAAAGCTGATTCTTAATGAGTTTTCTCTAATGCCTACTGATATTATAATAAATACAATGATAAAATCTATCGTAAAATCTTGCAATATAGCATTCAAAAGATCCGGCAATTTCAAAGGTCGAACTAGAAAAAGATCAGTTCCTTGGTGGAACGCTGAACTAACTGGCTTGCGTAAAGAGACAAATCATCTAAGAAGAAATTACCAGCGGACAAAAGACGATGGAATAAGGAAATCAAGGAAAGTGATCTATCTCAAAAGTAGGCAAGCATATCATAAGCTAATTAGAAGTTCCAAATTAAAGTCCTGGAAGACATTTGCTACTGCTTCAAAGGCGTGACAATAGCCATATAAGTTTGTATCCAATAAAATAAAACCTCAAACCTTACTACCACTTTGAATCTCATATATTAAATAAGATCATCAAAGATGACAATACAAGTGATGACACTAACACAGACAAATGAGAACAGAAATACTCATCTCGCCTAATAAAGACGATGATACTAATATCCGGGATTTTGAAATATTACAAGTTATTAATAAATTGGATGACAAGAAAGCACCAGGAATAGACAAAGTTGACCCAAGAATGATAAAAAAGATAGCTGACTCCTTTCCAAAATTGATAACTGGACTTTATAAAACCTTATTCAAAAGAAATGAATTTCCTAAAAGCTGGAAGGTGGGTAAATTAACATTGATTCCTAAGGCTAATTCATTTTCACTGAGACCACTAAGTATGCTTCCTGTAATGAGCAGAATTTTTGAAAAATAATAAAAAATAGATTAATGCATCATCCACTTAGTAACAATATACTCCACCGACACCAATTTGGATTCAGACCCCAATCAGGAACTGACGATGCTCTCAGTGAATTGAACGACCATATCACCAGTACACTCCGGCAAAATAATAATTTACTGGTTGTTTCTTTGGATATCGCGGGTGCCTTTGACAACGCCTGGTGGCCTGCGATTTTAAATAATCTAAAGAAATATAAATGTCCAAAAAACATATACAAAATCATTCACAATTATTTTTCTGACAGAAAACTTGCAATCCAAACAAACTTTCATTATATTGACAAGAAATTGATGCTAGGAACTCCTCAAGGATCAGCAATATCACCTATACTTTGGAACATCTTAATAAATACTGTTTTCGAAATAGACCTACAGAAAAATTCAACATTATTAGCATACGCAGACGATTTATTATTACTTATAAAACGAAGAGATTTCGATGAATTACAGACAATAGCAAACATAACATTATCAAGGCTGAGACAATGGACTAGACACAACAAACTTAAATTTAATCTAGACAAGACAAAATATATAATCTTCACAAAAAAGAGAATTGTACCAGAATTGGATATTCGACTCAATACAGTAAGAATAATTCAATGTGACACATTATCATATTTGTGGCTTCTCTTTGACAGAAAACTGAATTGGAACAGACATATAGATAATCTATATGACAACACTTTAAGGATTATAAATGGACTGTCAGTGGCTGCAAGAGCGACATGGGGACTCAGATTGGAAGTGTTAAAGGAAATTTACGAAGCTGCTGTACTTCCTAAGATGCTCTACGCTGTGCATGTCTGGCATCCGGCCGTTGAACGTAAGAAAAATTTGGTGAAGTTGGAAAGGCTTCAGAGATTAATTGCGATTAAGATATGTAAGGGCTATCGTACACTATCATTTGAGGCCACAATATTATTGGCAGGACTGTTGCCAATCCAAATGAAGATTAAAGAACGAATGACCTTATATAACATTAGAAAAGGAAAGAGAGGATACAAAGACCTGACCCTGGACAAAATAGAAAGAATCACTGACTGTAAATCTTGGTTACACCCTGCAACAAGTTTATGGACTGAACCAAAAATTACTTCTGAAAATACTGATGTTTTTACTGATGGTAGTAAGGACAGCGAGAACGTTGGATGTGCATGGTTGTTCAGAGCTCAAGATGGTAGGAATATAGAACATCAATATAAATTAGAATCATATTTCTCAAATAACCAGGCAGAAAAATTCGCTGTTTTAAAGGTGACTAAATACATATATGACTACCCTCTACAAACAAACATTCACGTTACTATAAATATACAGACAACAAAGTTCTACTAGACTCTATGAATAATTGGGACATTCATGATTACTTGACTGACCAAATTAGAAACAAATTGTTAATGATGAGAACTGTAGGGAAAGTAGTGACTCTAAAATGGGTAAAAGCACATTGTGGGATTGAGGGCAATGAACGAGCCGATTGCCTTGCAAAAGAAGCAGCTAAAAACGATTTGCCGCCATCGTATCATCAAGCACCTTTATCGTATATTAAGATGAATTTAAAGTTGGATTTCATCAAAAGATGGGATCACATATGGATGACTTCAGCTAAGTCACCAAGCTTACACAGATTTATACCATACATTTCAATTCACAATTACAGACACATTCACAGTAATGACTACAAACTTACAGAACGGGAATACAAAACAATATCTTAAAAGATTCAACATTATAAAACAGACGGACAGGTTCAAAATTTTAAACATATAATATATAAATGTAAACGATTTGACAGACAGTGATTTGAGTTAATAAAAAGCATAGTTATCAAAAGTGGAAATTGGCCTGAGACGGAATAAAAGTTATTTACTGAATTCAAGACAGACTTTCTTAGATTTATTAGATCTAACGAATTCGACTTACTTACCAGGGATGGGCAGCGTGGGTGATTTCTTATTGGCTTTGTTGGATTGACTTTCTGTGTTTAATATATAATATTCTGATTTAATTTTTGTGTGTTTATTCTTTGTATTTTTGTTTGTTAATGTATATAAATTTGAACTAAAAATGTATATCATGTAAAACTAGAAAAGAAACAATTGTAAACAAATGTAATTCATGTAGTATGTCTTTAAGGCATGGAGCATGAAGGAAAATCAAATAAATGATCCTTGTGTGGGGTTACCACATAGAGAAAAAAAAAAAAAAAAATATATATATATATATATATATAACCTCACTGTACGACTTCCATCCTACTTCTCTCCTATCCAACCTCTTAAAGCAGTTATAATACCTTTTCCAAAATCAACTCTCCAACTTCCTAGAGGAACGTACGTTCCCTCATCAATCCATTCCTATCTGGCTTTCGACCTGGTTACTCAACGCAATCCGCTCTCCTTAAAATGACCTATGACCTCCAAAATGCCATTGAACATCACAACCTTACTATCCTCATCCTTCTAGATTTTTCCAAAGCATTTGACATTATTGACCATAACATCCTCCTTATTAAATTGCACAATCTTCCTCTATCCAACAGTGCACTGCATTGGTTCAAATCCTTCCTTTCAAATCGGTCCCAATAAGTAGTCGTCCCAGGTCAACCTCTAAGACCCTCCCCTTCTCCTGTGGTGTCCCTCAAGGTTTCACTCTATCTCCTAATCTGTTAGCTATTTACATTAATGACCTTTCCCTCCTGATCCATGACTCCAAACACCATACCTAAGCAGATGATTTCCAAATATACCTGTCCTTCCCGCCCTCCGACCTATTATCAGCCACAAAAAAACTTCAAGAAGATTGGATGGGATTTGTGACTGGGCTACAGCTAACAGGTTGAAGTTGAATTTAGAAAAGACAAAGGCAATCTTAATAGGCTCCAATCACCTTTTTCTAATATATCAACTCTGTTCCTACATGATAATCTCATTAAATTTTATCCCACCAACAAAAAACTTTGAATCATCTTTCATCAAACGCTTTCCTGGAAAAACCATATATCCAGTATCTCCCATGTAGCCATACCTTTTCCACATTTAAACATCTAAATTACTTCCTATTTTCCCTTGAAAGCTGTAGGCTCCTAGTCACTTCCTTAATATTTTCTCACTTTGACTATTGCTGTACGGTATATGGGGGGCATCTCTGGAGATCTCGAGACGAAACTAAAACATTTGATAAATTACTTTATACGATTCATTTTTGGGATCCCAAGGGATACCTCTGTTTTCCGTTTTTATGCAGAGTTGAACTGGCTTTATCCTTCCTACCATCTTAGCATAGTATTTCCTAACATCTTTCCTCTTTTAAGTCACCCAATCCTGCTGTCCTTCACACATCTCCGAACTCCTTCAATTGATATCCTCTGTTCATTCCCACAATAGTCGTTCTCTATCTTCAGATTTATACACAAGGGCCCACCGAACCGCTGCTTTCAACAGATCGTTCATTATCCGATCATCATTCCTAAGGAACTCCATCCCTTCCTACATCTATCAATCCAATACCCTCCCTACCTTTAAATTCCGCCTGTTCAATCATTTCTTATCCATCCAGTCTCCATAACATTGTAAATAGATATTACTGTAAATAGGTATATAAATTATTAAATCATTCTTAATCATTTTTACTTCATGTTTTTCATTTTTTTTTCTCTTAAGTAAGTTATGATTTTTTTTATTATGACTATTTAATTACTTTGTATTTTTGTTTATGTATCTCTGAGGCTGCATAGACTACATTTCTGTCTTTCAGTATTATTTATTCTAAAGAGACTTGTCCCAGAATAAAATTATTATTATTATTATTATAATATATGCTAATTGGCCTGTGCAAATAATTCGCAACGAATATGGGTCAGTAAATAAATAACAAAATACTAAAGAAATTAAATAATTCAATGTATCATAAGACGAAGAAACCATCATTTCCTATGTTTTAGATAACTGTAATCAACCAAGGAAAAGAAAATTATTATAAAACTTCATTAATATTTTAAAATTTTTTATTTTTCGATTGCTCTGACAATTTGTATTTGAGGGTTCTTCGAGCTGAAAAATACAACTCTGTTTCTCCTTAAAAAATATTTGAACCCACTTTGCTCATTCGGTCAGTAAAAATTGTTACAAATATACAAATTTCTAATTGATTTTGATGAGGATTTTTTTTTTTTTTTTTTTGGTTTTGTATGGAATTTAGTTATCTTTCAAATAATCAAGAGTGCAATGAAAAATAAAATTTATACTTTTTGAGTTATTCGTAAATAAAGTTTCTTTTCCTTCATAACTTTTAAATTCCTTAAATTTCGGAATGATTTGATTATAATTTGTCACTTATCCATGTTCATTTGATTACATCATTTATCAAAATCCATCTCATGAGCTGGAAAAGGAATCTACACTGCAAAAAACTACTGTATAGTATACAAAGATAGATTGATGAATAAAGAGATTCATCCAATTTTTTTTTAAAGTTCATAATTAGCAAACCTATTTTAATTTAAAAGGAAGATAACATTCTTTATTATATGATCATAAATAGTTGCAATTATATTACCTTTCACTTTTTTAAAAACAAGTTTCATTACATAAGTAGCAAAATTAATTTGTTATGTTCCAATGTTATTTCACTTGCAATATTTAAAATACATAGTTTCTCAAATAAAACTAACCTTCAGTTGGTTATCATGTCCTTCTTCTTGAGTGTCAGCAGCTATGATAATAGGCATTTCTAAAAGTCTATCTGGAGTTAGTTCATCAACAAAACTAGTATTGTCTTGGCTATTAGAGATTGAAGTGAATCCTTCACCCCCTAATACTATAAAAAGTAAAATTTTAAATATTATACATTTTAAACAATTTAAGATAACATTAAAATTTAAAAAATAAGTAAACACCTTTAATGTGGGGGAGAATCTTGAACGTCTGGCCTTCATTACTTAATGATGAATCTAAAATAAAATAAGCACATATATTTTCCAAGTAACAAACGTGTTGGGTATGAAAAGGATTTTCTATTAAGTGTTATTAAGTATATCATCTAGATAATATTTTGTAAATAAAAAATACAAATAATTATCCTTCCATATTCCACAATAAAGTCCATTATTTTATTTATAAGTTTGGTCTGGAATAAAAAGCAAGGAGTTATAATAACTAAAAAGCTCAAACCTACTATAACTATATAATGAACACACACTCCTGAAAACACCAGTGAAAGGTAGCTAAAAAAAATTTTAAAATAGAAATGACCAAAAACTTGCTGATGATCAGTATAAATTTAAAATTAAAGCAAAATAAAAACAGAAAGTTAGTAGCTCAAGAGAAAAGACATGAAAAGATCATTTTTACCCATAAAAATTACATAACAAATATGAAAAATTCTATGAGAACATACTTGTTTGTAAGATGTACTGTTTTGAAGAAGTATAAATTTTAAATAGTGAGATATAAAAAAATAAAGGAATTTTCCTAGATACAGTATACCAGAGTGTCAACCTTTTTAATTCCAGGTTTAAATAATTAAGTACTTCCTTAAGTTTTTGGTTGCATTATTGCAAAAATAATTAGCGTTCAAGAAAAGTGGTGGAGATCGAGCTACAGGCTGTCAGTGATCAGCTCATACCATTTAGTGAAATAAAGGGTATAAGAAAAAATAAAAATGATGATTTAGTTGAATATTAGCATCAACATACAGCAATTTTGTATAATAATACCAGATGCTGAACAATGGAAAAATTAACATTTCAACAAAAATTAATTTTATTTATAAAAGTAAAATTTACCATCTTTATTATAACTAGACAAAGAGACATTTAATAATACTTACTGTCAATATTCGAACTGTTTATTACACTTATATTTTCAATAGAAGGACGTGTCACACCTTTATCGGATAAACCACCTCTGCGAGATATGGCTATACCTCCATTACTTGACTGAAATTAATTAAAACAAAATTCAGTTAGATGAATGAAATCTAAAATCTTATCTTTATATTCATTAATCGTAAAAACAGGATCTTAACTTTATGTTAGTGGTGACTCAGAAAATGCAATCAAGCAGCATAAATTTTCTGTTGTACTGACAGTTTTTTTTGCTATTTTCAAATTTCTTACATTGTTTTTCATAAAAGATGATTTCCATTATGGCAATAATTAAAACAATTTTTGAAGAGAAGAATAGTTGGGGTGGTCAGTCAAAAAAGAAGGCAAAAATAAATGATAATATTTATTTTTACAAAAGCCGACGTTTCGACCTGAAGTTCAGGTCATCATCAGGTCTAAGAAAAGAACCAGATAACAAGGTATGAGAAATATAAAAATTACAGTAAAATGAAGTTGTTAGAATAATGACAATAGTAAGAACAAGAGACAAATAATAATAACAGGTAAAAAGTGTGGAATGATGAAGTAAACATAATCAAAAAAGGTGACATAAGTATTGTAAAGGGAATCTTAGAATAAATGTAAAACAGAAAAATATGAAGTTATATAAGAAATGGAAATAAATAGTAAAATTAAGATAGAGTGAATAGAATATTTAGATAGAAAATTGAGATGTTGTAAAGTCTATCAATATGTACAGACAAAGTATGAAATAATAAAGAGTTAAAACAGAGAAAAGGAATGAAAGGAAGGATGAGAGAAACTGAGAAGGTTGAAATAAGAAAAAGAATAAGTAAGAGAAATTATAACAACCTTACTGCTCCTAAGGTGAAGATGCAATAACCTTGTTATTGAAGGATGGAGGTGGATAGAAGGGATGTACAGTGGCGTCATCTCCAACGGTTATCTGACGAAGTTTGAACTAACGTATCGGAAGCGTAAATAAGAACGAGAGATATATTATACATAAATATTAAGGAATAAAACGAAAGTTGATAGAAAGAGGCAATAAAATAAATAAAATATAAATAAATAATTTATAAATTATAACTAAATTTGTAATACATCTAAATAGTTGATAGAAATTCTGGAGAGGCAATAAAACGAAGAAAATAACTGTTGAGTAATAATGGAGAATAATTGAAATTAATACAGATAATATAAATATATATATATGTGTATATAAGTTAAGCATCGGCGGACTTCAAAAATAAAAAAAAAAAGAAGGAAAAAGGATCGAGAAACAACACTCACGGCTTCTGAATAAACACTGCTTTATTCGTTCAATAATCTGCCTTATATACAGTTGTCATGTTTATTTACATTACAAGATGGTATTAAGGCTGATATCGCCAGTCTCCGGTCTTTATCTCCCCCCCACCAGTTTACGAATAGGATTTTCGGAAACTTATAGATTCCTAGATCGGAGCCACCGGTATCAGCCTTAACACTTTACAATTATTCGTACCAGTATAAACTTAAAATACACTGAAACTCACTTCCACTCCGCTGGAACGAGAAATAAATAAAAAGAAATAAAACACAGAAACTAAACAAAACACTTGCTACAACGTCTTATTAACAATGGAACAGAACTCTTAATACTATAAAAACTACAATTGCCTCTACTGTATTGCTATATCGCTATTTACAAAAAAAAAATGACATCATCAACAACCAGAAAAGAAAACATGCCTCTTATCCACAGCGGTGAGGGTACTACGAATCCGTTGGTTTATGTTCCGGTTCTAACATTGGGAGCTTCAATTGTTCAATGTGAACAGTTCTCCTCTTCTTAGGTTCGTTAATGCTTTCAATGGTTAGCAGATTATGCTCCCTAATAGCAACCACTCTGAATGGGCCCTCGTACCGTAACAATTGTTTTCCTCTGTTGGTTCCTACTCTACGGTACACTATTGTTCCGATCTTTAATTCTCTCATTCGGTCACGTACCTGCACATTCTGCTGCTCTACCCGCTTCTCCTTTTCCCCGTGACTTTTTCCCACTTCTTTTCTACCTCTACCATATTACTCTGGATTTACTCTACTAACGGTTCATTGGTCGTTGTTTCCCCGCAATCTCGCCTTGGCCTGCGCATCCCGAATAGTACTTCCATGGGTGAAAATCCCGTTACGGAGTGGATCGAATGGTTATAGGCTGTTACGGCTTTCTTCATCGCAACATCCGGCTCCAACCCTTTCTCCCCCTGATATACACGGATGTGGTCACTCAACGTGCTGTGCAATCGTTCCGATGCCTCCTCTACTCTTAGGGTGTCCCGGGGTGTTATAATGCCACACAACCTCTAATCGTTTCACCTCCTCCCTAATCACGGTATTGTCAAACTCTCTGCCCCCGTCTGACGTGATCCTCTCGGGGACTCCGTAAAACTGCACCCAGATTTGTAGGGCTTCCGCAACTGCGTTGGCAGACTTGTCCATGACCTGATGTGCCATAGCTACTTTACTAAAGATGTCGATGATAGTGACCCACTTGAACCCTTTCGTGAATGTATCAATCTGGAGGTCTTGTAGCGGCATATTTCCTGTAGGTGTCTCTTCCTGAACTCCTCTGGGGGGGTGTCGATCATATTTTGTGCGTATACATAACTCGCATTTCCCTATGATTACTTGGATAGATTTTTTCATGCCCCACCAGAAATACTTTCGCCGTAATGCCTGCAACGTCTCGTTCACGCCTCGGTGGTTGGTCTTCCCCTGGTGGTATGCCAATGTGACTGCTTGTTGTTGCTCCTCATCCTGTATGGTTTCCACTGCATACTTGCACCGGATGAGCGTTCTATCCACGCGTATTCGCTCGGATCTCCACATCCGCTTTATTTATTCCCATACCGTATTATTCCCAACATAGAGATGGTGCGTTTTTCCCGGTTCCGTGGCGTCCTTCAGTGCTGTACGGATTTGCTCCTCGCTCACTCCGGGTTGCGACCAAATGACGCGAATCCTAATTTTCCCATATCTTCGGTAATCTATTTTCATGATCCCTGTTGTTCTTGTTTTCCAGATTACCTGCCGATGCTTGTCGTTAATGATTTCGTCTATTTCCTCCATCTCCGCTGCTCTTTCCTCCGCTGAGCTATCTTCTTCCGGGGACTCCTCCCTGTCCTCTATACCGACGGTATCATCTGCCCCTTCACCATCAGGAGTCCATTCACTCAAGAATTGGCGCACGTCCCGCGATGGTCCTCCCCCGTCCTCTTCTACCACGTTGATCATGATGGCCCTAGAGAGCCAGTCTGCCACCACGTTTTCCTTTCCCGGCTTATACACCACCTCTATGTTGTACTGACTAAGGAATTCTTTCCATCTCGTGACCCTAGCTGAGGTTTCCTTAAGTTTCCCTACCCACTGAAGGGGTTTGTGGTCGGTGTGGACTCGAAACTTCCTCCCAAATATGTATGGCCTGAAATGGTCGATAGCCCACACTATCGCGAGTAACTCCCTCTCCAACGCACTGTATCGTGATTCCACACTCGTAAGCCGTCGGCTCGCGTATGCTATCGGACGTTCACCCTCACTTCTGCCCTGGGACAAAACGGCCCCCAACGCGTATTCGCTCGCATCAGTGGTGATGTTGAACTGCTTCTCAAAATCCGGGAAAGCCAATACGGGTTCTGCCTGCAACCTATTCATGCATTTCCGAATATTATTCTCCATTTCTGGTGTCACCACAATCCTCGCACCTTTCTTCAGCAAGTTGTTGATGGGTACCAAGTATTCTGCCATCTCAGGTACGAATCTCCGATAATAGTTAAGCGTCCCGAGAAGCCTACGAATCCCTTTAACGTCCCATGGCACCGCCATCCGTGTGATTGCTTCCACCTTTGCCGCATCCGGTCTGACCCCCTCACTAGAAATAGTGTGGCCTAAAAAATTGATCCGCGTTTGTCCCAGCAGGGACTTCTCGCTTGACAGTTTCAGCCTGAATTGCCGCAGCCTTTCGAATACCGACCTCAAATGCCCCACGTGTTCGGTTTCCGTTCTACTAAAAATCAGCAGGTCGTCCATGTATACTTGACATATGGAGTCGTCGCCCCTCAAAAATTCGTCCATCAGGCGTTGAAACGTTATGGGCGCATTCTTCAGACCAAACGGCATTCTGGTGAATTCGTAATGCCCCCTTTAGAATGTAACGCCGTTTTGTGTTGATCCTTCGGGTGCATCCGTATTTGGTGATATCCCGCCTTGAGGTCCAACGTGCTAAATACCACAGCCCCACTCAACCTATCAAGTATATCTTCGAATCTGGGGATCGGGTACTTTTCATCTAACATGTTGTCGTTCAGCTTACGATAGTCCACTACCACCCTGTATTTTTCCTTATTATCCCCCGGCGCTGCCTTCTTTTTCACCGCCCACAGGGGACTATTAAATGGCGAGGTGCTATCGACTATGATCCCTTGCTCCTTTAGGCTTTCTAACTCCTCCCGAATATGCTGCCTCAGCGCCTGCGGGTATCTCCTTTCCTTTACGTAGGTTACCCTATCTTGCTTCAGTGGGATTTCATGTACCATCTTCCCTGTTACAATACCTCGCCCTCCCTGAAGAAAATATCTTCAAACTCCGCTTGTAGCGACTTTCTCCAGTCCTCCACCCTGTTCACCACTCCTATCCGCACCCTTCTTTCTCTCGCGACCCCTATACATCCAAACTTCCTTTTTCCCAGCCTAATACTCCAGGCTCCTCTACGGTTTCTAATGCTCACCCCTACCTGTCCTAACAGATCGCACCCTATTATGACTTGGTACTCCCGTGTCATGCTTTCTACTACATGCACCTTTAGCTCCCCCTTTTTCCCTGCCCACCGATCAAGCCTAATTGTCGCTTCCCCCTCTACACTACAGGGACCACCCAGAGTGATTAGCTGGCAGTCACATTTTTGTATCCGGAGTACCCACTCGCTCTCCCACACACTTTCCCCAACGCCCCTCGGGTCATGATAGTACTCAAGCACCCTGTGTCCACGAGACACTTCACTCCCCCGTCTACTTCAATAATCGGCAACCAGCATGGCTTACCTCTGATACTGTTGCAGGTTGCTGTGCGGTCGCCTCTCTGCTGACACACTTCTCAGATGCCGCCTCGCTCGTCGCTGCTCGCTCCGTTGGCTGCTCCTGCCTCCTTCGCCTCCACTGCTGCCTGGTTCATCCTACTCCTCGGTTGCCTCTTCCGAAGATCCGTCCCTCTGCTGCATCGTAGCTCGTCTTTTCAACTTCTGTACGTTCACCTATATCGGCTCATCTAGCGGTCTCTCTCTCCTACGAAACATGTATGGGCACTGTCTCGCAATATGCCCTTCGGTCCCGCACTCGAAACATCTAGTGCGCGGACATTGTGCCACCAAATGTCCTGGCTTTCCGCACCCATGACATTTTCTGTCTTCCCTCCGGGGTCCATTCCTAGGCCTGGACTGTCCGGATCTTCTCTCGCCCGTCGTGGCTTTTTCTCCGTTCGGGTGTTTCATTTCCCTCTTCTTCCACCCTATCTGGGCTGTCCGGGGTCGTCTGTCATTCACTCGGATCCACCCTGGTTCCTCTACTTCCATCCGAGTCTCTTCCTCTCTTGCACTCAGATCTATCATTCCTTGGGCACACTCGAGGAATGATCGCTCTCTAGGCAGTCCGTCCCTCCTCCCAGTCTCCTTCGCCAGCTGAACCTTGAGTATTGTCAAAAGGAACTCCATCCTGGCTTCGACCTCTCCCACACTCAGGGTTTCGCGCATTTTCTCAGTTATGCGGTTGTACTTCACCACTAGTACCCCCGCATACTGTCCTCTTGTCTGGCGTTGGGACCGACGCTCTCTGAACATTTGGAAGATATCTTCTTCCGGCATCCATCTGCCCCCTCCAAAAGCCTTCTTTAAATGCTCCTTGATCACTGGCCATGGTGTCTCCTCGTCCGCTTGGATTTGGTTCAGAATGTTCCTCCTCACTCGGCACACGAGAGCTGCTTTCAGTGCTTCCGCGTCTCCCAGGTTCACAAGGTCGTCCGCCACCTTTACTTCGATTCTTGACATGAGGCGGTCTCCACCTTTCAAGAAGTGATTAAGCTCTCCTACCTCGCCCCCGAATCGTTCCAGGTCTGCGATTGCTCTCTGTAGATCCTGCGTGGTCGCTGCCCTTATCTTCATCCATTCCAATGCATTGGCGTGCGCCTCTGCCAATGTGTCCCTAGGTAAGGGAGGGATCTCCTGTATCTGAGGTATCTGCGGTACCTGAGGTATCTGAGGGGCCTGCGTGATCTGCGCTATCTGAGGCATTTCCTGAGGTTGCGGAATTTCAGGTGCGCTTAACACTCCTGGTCGAATCAAGCCCTCTGTCGGCATCTCGCCTTTTCCTTATGACTAGGAGAAGAAAGAAAAAAAAATTTTACTTCTGTGTTCTCCTGACGTCCCGGGTTTCGGCACCAGTTAAGCGTCGGCGGACTTCAAAAATAAAAAAAAAAAGAAGGAAAAAGGATCGAGAAACAACACTCACGGCTTCTGAATAAACACTGCTTTATTCGTTCAATAATCTGCCTTATATACAGTCGTCATGTTTATTTACATTACAAGATGGTATTAAGGCTGATATCACCAGTCTCCGGTCTTTATCTTATACACATATACACACATAAATACATACATATACACACACACACACACACACTTATAATTACACACACATACATACATATATATATATATATATATATATAAATATATGTGTGTGTGTGTGTAACAACCTGACTTCACCTTAGGAGCAGTCAGGTTGTTATAATTTCTCTTACTTATTCTCTTTCTTATTTCAACCTTCTCAGTTTCTCTCCTCCTTCCTTTCCTTCCTTTTCTCTGTTTTAACTCTTTATTATTTCATACTTTGTCTGTACATATTGATAGACTTTACAACATCTCAATTTTCTATCTAAATATTCTATTCACTCTATCTTAATTTTACTATTTATTTCCATTTCTTATATAACTTCATATTTTTCTGTTTTACATTTATTCTAAGATTCCCTTTACAATACTTATGTCACCTTTTTTGACTATGTTTACTTCATCATTCCACACTTTTTACCTGTTATTATTATTTGTCTCTTGTTCTTACTATTGTCATTATTCTAACAACTTCATTTTACTGTAATTTTTATATTTCTCATACCTTGTTATCTGGTTCTTTTCTTAGCCCTGATGATGGCCTGAACTTCAGGTCGAAACGTCGGCTTTTGTAAAAATAAATATTATCATTTATTTTTGCCTTCTTTTTTGACTGACCACCCCAACTATTCTTCTCTTCATTATCCACGACAGTCAACCATTTACCAATTAAAAAACAATTTTTATTTTCTATAAAATAAACTTCTCCATATATGAACACATCTAGACTTCTCTGATAAATGGAAAAAAAAAAAATCTAAAATCTGAAGAAAAGACCTGTATATTCATTGGAAGATAATAAAGACCGTAAATCTATGCAGAAATATCGTTATATCAAACTTATAAAAAAAAAACAGTTTGTCTACGGCTGTGACAACCCCTATATGATGATATCAATGGTGATAAACACAATTCAAATCTGTTTTAGTCATTGTAGAAATTTCATTTTAATTTGAAATGAAAAAGAAAATGCAAACTTTTACAAAACAAGTGATTTTAATAGTTATAAAAACATACTGAAATTAACAACATAACTCCATATTTTTTTTTTCAGAAGAATCAGGAAGAAAGATACTTAAAGATATAGAAAATAACATTTTTAAACAAGTAATTTACAAGGCAATAACTAAAATAAACATGGATATGAACATTATAAGACACATCCCAGAATTAAAAATACCGTGTTGGAAAAAAGACAGACCCTTGATTAATAAATCCATGACTAAAATTGCAAAAACATATCCAATTGAAATACAAAAATCTTTTTTAAAACTGACAGAACAATATAAAAATTTTGATTATATATATATACGGATGCATCCAAGGAAGGAGATAGCGTAGGATGTGCTTTAGCGAGTAAAGAGAAACACCTACTGTTTAAATTACCTGAATAATGCTCCGTATTCACAGGAGAGGCGACTGCCATCATGAATGCTTTACATCTTATAAGCGAAATTAAAAAGAACTACTGGGTAGTTGTGAAGGACTCATACAGTGTTTTAATAGCCATCGATAACCCATATCCTAGAAACTCTATAATTAGAGAAATACTCAACATTTGGAGGGAGGTAAAAAATAAAGGAATATCAGTTGTCTTGGAATGGGTACCAGCTCATTGCAGATTTTGGGGAATGAAAAAGCTGACCATGCAGCCCATTTAGCAAGAAGTGGAGGAGAAGAGGAAGTGACTAGATTGAAATATATCACTTTAGAAGACTGGGTACACAAAACAAAGAAAAAAAAACCTGTCAAATGGGAAAAAGAGTGGAGAATCACAGAGTGTAAGCTGAAAGAAGTGAAATCTAATAGCGATAAATGGCTCACTAGCACCAGAAGTTCCAGGCATGAAGAAATTATACTATGGCGCCTTAGGATTGGGCACTACCAGTTCACATATAGCTATCTTTTAAGAGGTCTAGAAGGTCCTACTTGCAAAAAATGCAATAATATATCTGAAACACCTTCTGGTAGAATGTCCCCAATTCGAAAGCCACAGAAAAAAATGGATCTAGGAAAAACACTAAAAGATATTCTACAAAATAATGAAGAGCGAGTCTATATCGTGTTTTAAATTTTTAAAGACTGCAAATTACTATAATAGAATATAAATTATAGAAAAGGCCAATGACCCTTTAGGATAAAGGAGAGAAAAAAAGAAAAAAAAACCTATTGAATATTTGCAAAATTATTTTTAAAGCATTTCTCTTAGACTCCTTAGGTATATTATTTAATGATTTTCACCAAAAGTTAAATAATTGAGTGAACTTTTACTGAAATCTTTATTTCTTTGAAAATAATTGAATTGAATTTGTAGGAAAATAATCAAATGTAACAAGAAATGTGGAACAATTTGATTATTAAGCATTTTTCAATAACCAACAAACTTTAGGTATGTCATTATGAGTACAGAGTGCAAAGACGGAATGATTGAACGAGAAACATTAGTGAGAAATCTGGTTTGAGAGATAAATCAGTTTTTTAAATTTTAAGTACTATGAATAAAAGTATAATAAATTTAATGTAAGAGGAATCCTATGTTATGAATGGAATCAAAAGAAATGTTTGCACCACACGTTTTTCTGAATAAATGAAAATATTTATTCAATAAAATTGGTATTTGCCTTTGATAATATCAAAACTATTTGTGTGAACTATTGAATATTCGCCAGCCACACATTGAGAACCAGTTCTAATGACAAAAATTTAAATGCTCTATTGGAAAATTGAATCACTAAAATATTAGTTAGTAAAGGCTTTCCAAATTACCATCAATAACAATAATAATAAAGAAATGTTTTGAACCTGTTCACATACTTGAGTTATATATCTGGATCTTCCACGACCCCTTGATCCTCCTCTACGAACTGTAGTAATATCTGAAAAAGAAACTGAGTATAAATAACATAACTTAGAAGTTAAATGCTAATTAACCATATTAATTAGCAATAGCAAACAAAATTACAGTATTTATATTACATCTCACAGGTCACAATAGTTAATTTAAATATATAAAAAACTGATCGGCAATATTGCAGTAAATTTATTATTACAAGTGTCCGTAGCCCAGTGGTAGAATTTCGGCCATGATCATTATTGAACGTTTGAGGAAAACTTAAATGAATTTATCTGTCTCCAAACTTTTTTTTCTATTCTTATACATTCGTATATTCACTTCAATATATACTAAAAAAATACTTTTTGAGTAATAGGCAAATAAAAATGTGATTCCATCCTAACTTTTTTCAAAAATATATTTGAACCCACTTTCCTCACTCAACGAAAATATGAGCCAACAATTTTTTTATTTTTTGATTACTTAAAAAATTCTATTTGAGGGTTTTACAAGATGCGAAATACCGACCTGAATTTTGTTTCTCCTTCAAAAAATATTTTAAACCACTTTGCTCCTTCGGTCAGTAGAAATTGTTTGATTTAAATATTGAACTTATATATAATTATATTTCAAACAAAAATTAGTCACAATAAAGCTCTCCTAACAAATATAAACCGAAGAAAATGTAAAAAAAAAACTTTCACGAACATGATTATTTTTGCTTTCAATGATCTTTTTTCATTTTCATTTTTTTTTTTTCAGGTACTAGGAATTTAGGAAATACTCATAGGTTTAAAACGCTGTATCATTACAATGAATCGAGCAATTTCGATGAATTTTCCCCCCCATTTTATAGAGAATCCAAGAAGCTTTCAAATAAATAGGGGTATTATCCATCCATAAAAATAAAAAATTGTGTACTTTTTGAGTTATTCGCAAATAAAATTCTAATTCATCGTAACAATTTATGCAACTTGTTTTCGAGAAACCTGCAGGGAATAGTCAAAGTGCCCAGACTAGTGGGGAATAACGCTTCCCCGGGCTCCTGAGTTCAGTAAACGGCACTCTCACAACAGAACTGTACACTTTACACTTATTCAAACACAAGATCATATTCAGTACTCACCTCAAGGCCACCTTCTCTGGGTAGACCCAAGGTTGGGGGGTATAGCCTAACCACCAGTTGTCCTGAGGATACAGGGCCTCTAGCACTGGGCCAATCACCCGTCTGGAGTACAGCAGATTCAGAGAGATCTACCTAGCCTCGAATGTGGACAGTCTTCACGGAAACGACTCGGCGCGCTTAAGGATATTCGAATAAGAACATGGAATATTAAAACTTTAACTGGAAAGGAGGTCGGACTGGTGGAAGAGATGAAGAAATAAAGTTCTGGGCATTAGTGAAGTTAAGAAAAAAGGCAGTGGTGAAATGAAGTTAGCTGGAAATTACTCCTTAATTTATGCTGGAGTACCTAGAGGGATTTTCGCCAAGGAAGGGGTAGGCCTAGTAATGTCGCCATATATGGTTCATCGTTTGGAGGACTGGGAACCAATATCATCTCGATTGATCGTGGCAGATTTTAAGATGCCCATTGGTAGGATTACCATAGTCCAGGTGTATGCACCAACTGAGGATACCAGTGTTATGGAAAAGAAGGCATTCTACTTGGATTTACAAAATATTGTACATAAAGCTAAGGAAAAAGGAAGATCTATAATCCTGAGTGGGGATTTTAATGACAGAACAGGAAATGATGTTATATCAGGATATGGTGTTCTAGGGCTGCATGTAGGTGAAAATGTAAAAAATAACAATGGACAGCGGCTAATTAACTTTTGTGTTGATAATGACCTCATCATATGGAATTCATTCTACCCACACAAAAGAATTCATAAAATTACTTTCTCGTGCTTGGAGCGGAATAGTATAATTGACTATTTTATATATGACCAACACATTAGACAATATTTCACTGATGTAAAGATCGTGAGAGGAGCAGAGATAGGCAGTGACCACCTTCTACTTGTGGCTGATACAAAGATCATTATGGATAGTAAAAGAAAAGCGAAGGCATTTAAGACCCTGAATATTGGAGCCTTGGATGATCCAGAAAAGAGGTTCCTCTACACGAAGAATTTAGAAGATAAATTAAGAGCAACAACTTTCGATGGAGACGTAGAAGATATCTGGAACAAATTAAAGTCATGTATTCTGGAGGTTGTAAATGCTGTATGTGGGAAGAGGAAGGTATCTGGTAAGGGAAAGCGGACTGACTGGTGGACCGAGGACCTTCAACGAATAGTGGCTTGGAAAAAGCTTGTCTGGAAAGCATACCTTCAAGATAGAAACGAGGAAAAGCTACAAAACTACCGAACAGCCAGGAATGAATGCAAGGCAGCCGTTAGCCAGGCCAAGAAATGTTCGTGAGAGGATTTCAGTAAAAAACTGAGTGAAAACCATCGTGAATCCATAAGAACTTTTTGGCGAAAAATTAAATTTGTAAGAGGAAAGAAAAACAAGCCTGTCAGAAATATAAAGGATAGCGATGGATCCCTGTTTACCGACAAGGAAGAGATCCTGAACAGATGGAAACAACATTTTCAGGAACAATTCTCCGAAAATCCAGTAATATGTCACTGCCAAGAACGAGAGCACTCTACTCTAGAAAGCCTAGAGGTAATAGAAGAAGAAGAAATAGAAGACGCAATCCAGACTCTAAAAGCAGGAAAGGCACCAGGAAGGGATTGAGGAACTTTGATCTTGAGGAGTCATTCGATTATCTGATCTGACAAATTCTTCTTCAAACAAGATTTCTTTTACTTGCTAAATTTTATGGATTTTTATTAGAAAAATTTTGTAAGCAGAGGAGTCAAATAATGCCATAATTTAGTTTCCGAATTACTGATAACTTTTCAATTCTCAAGTGTTCTGTGGCAAGCAGGATGGGCAAGATCAAAGGCTCTTACATTAGGAACTACATAGCCGTTATTCACAAGTGTTCCGTGAAACAATTTTTATGTCCCCGAAGTTTTGCTTTTAATTGTAACATAAAATGCCTAATAAAAAAATATTTAAGAGGAGGTCCACAAACAACATTCAACCACTACTCTATCAGCCAATCTATCAACCACTGGTTTAGATTGTTCTCCCAAACCCGATTCACGTTGTGTACCAATAAAGCCAGGTACTTTAACATTAGTTAGCAGTTTATTAGTTATTTGTTCCATGGAAAGTGTCGCTATTTTATAGTATAATGATCACCCTAAATCGTCTGTATATGCAAAAAGAGAATAGCTCACAGATACATATCTAGCAAACCCAATGGTTAAAAAATACATATTAAACTTAAAATTAAACATTGCTAAAACTTTTTAAGTTGCCCAAAAGATTTTGATTAAGCATGACATCACAAAACGGAATTATTACTGTATATAATCCATAATGCTAAAATCATAAAGTAGCATAACATTATATTTAATACAAATGCAATGACTTACTAATTGTTATACCATCTTTTCTTATTGAAGCAGATGGAATCACTGGAACAAATATTATATACTGTAATGAATTTCAATCTTGGTTATAATATTTATACTGATTAATGGGCTGAGGAAAGCAAGATGAATAAAAATAATAGTGAATAACTATACTAAAGTCTTTAGAATATCCGCTGAATTAAGCACAAAATCATATGTTGAAATTAGTAAACTCAAATTAAAAATAATTAGGCTGAATAAAGATATAAATAAATTAAGACTAAATGTAAATTCTCTTGAGTCAAATTATTAGAAATTTTGGTCTACAGTTATTAATATTTAATCATGATAGGATTTTTATATTAAAATCAAAGACTAAATTTTTAAGCAATTGTGTTATCAAATCGCCTATTAATTTTAGGCAATTCTTTAATATTTCAACTAAAAAGTGAATATTTAGACACAGGTTTCTATTTTTTTCATTGGTATATGAACATAAATATTTTTATAATTAACATAGATATTTAAATTTTATGTTAAATATGAAATAATGTTTCTCACTTTATTTTAATACAAAATTTCATTTTTTTGTTTGTTTTCTAATCTACCAATTTCATATTTTATCTTGTTATTAAACTTATAGCCATATTAAAATTGTCCTTAAATAAATCCTCAGAATATTTTTTTCCTTCCCAGCAAGAGGCTCCTCAGCAATGGTTCAACTTTAAATATATTCCATACTAATTTAAAATATATTTCATTCCCATTTAAATGTTATTTTAACTCAACTTAATCTAGAAAATAATGATAAATTATTCATTATCCAGAATAAATAAAAGAAGTTTGTGAAGTATGAAAACAATGACATAAGAGTATAATGTAAAAAAAGAAAATTTTCTAAAAAAGTTTATGTTATATAACATTTTATCAAAAGCCACTAATATTCAATATCAATACATCATAACCGAAATTCATTAAAAACTTTACAAGTAAATTTGAGTTTGAATTCAAAGATTGAATGTTGCTGTACAGAACAAAACAGTACATTTCAATATTTTTTAAGGTAATTTTTAAAAGCATAGGACTGCATGCAGCAATCATTCTGATCTGGGTTCTAGGAAATGCAAAATATTGAAATGATAATATTCAAGAAGCCGATGAGGCCAGGGAATGTCATGCACAAAATATAGATACCAAGAAGTCAATGGGTTCTCATCTAGGTAAACAATCATAAATTTTTTCCTAATTATATTTTAAATGCCTGGTAGAAATTTGTTATGAGTAAATAAGCATCAACACTCAAACAATAAACTACTTACTGGAAAACGGTTTTAATCAATAATATGAATAAAGCAGAATTAATTTCATGTTCATATTGAAGAGCTGTATTTTCATGTTTTTAAGAGAGGTTTGAGTTCTTCTAAACTGGATATAATTCACAAAAGTCCTGTTGGTCTTCATGCAACTTTTCGCATGTTTCACTGTGCCATCTACTTTTGTGAGTACGCTTCCCAGACAAACATAGGTCTTAAAATAAAGTCAACGAAAGCATCACCCACCTACTACAGACCTTTGTTAACTGAGGTCTACATAGAATATTGGGAATTTGGTGCTAAGAATACATATCGAATAAAGAAGTATGGAAAGCCACCAAACAGCTATAAATCCACTCAGAAATAAAGATGCGAAAATGGGAAGTGGTAGGGCACACTCAAAGGAAAACAGATGAAACTATATAAAAAACTGGCCTATAATGGAACCCTCAGGGCAAATGGAATTAGGACGTGTTGACAAATCATGAAAAGAGATTAGGAGGACTCATATTAACCGATCAAATTGAAACCCTCATGGATACCCTATGCTCTAGTGGAAATCAATGGAATTAATAATAATGGTAGAGAAAGAATTCTTTCAAGAAATAAATAAATAACTAGCTTTGTTATTATATTTGTCTTGAAATACCGTGTTAATGAAAAACATTGTTAGTATAAAGCCATCAAACAAACTCGTTACCACAAACATGAAAGTTTAGATTTTTTTTTTCAGATTGATTGGCATTTATAGTTATTGCTCCATTTCTAAGGGTCACAACTTTATTTCATAAAGCTGAAAGACTGAGTTAGTAAATGTTTATTCTAACACATAAAGAATTTCCAGAATTAGACTAGTAGTTACTAAAATTAAAGCATTAAAATCAACAAACTCTATAATTTTATAAATAAGTACAAATTATAAAGATATAATATATATGAAATGTATCTTACACTGCTTTCGTGGATAAATATCATCTTGTATTGATATTTTTCGCTTCTTTTCAACTAATCTTAGCCGGGGCCTGTTATCAACCGGAGCTGGTGGAGGAGGAGGTTGTGGTGGTGATGAAAGTACATTTCCAATAAAGTCAGTTACTTCATCCTTTAAAAATATGATGTAACAATACTTAAAAAGTTAACTTAGTTTACTGTAAAAAGAAATATAAGATTTTTTAAATTTAATACATACAATAATACAGTGATCAACCATTCCTTGAGTTATCCCTTCTATTTTTTGTTTTGCTTTTGTTATCCTTAAGTGATCATCAGCTGCTCCTACTATGACAAGACCCGTTTCAACATTCAATCTCTCACGAAGCTCCTCCATATCATCGATGCTAGAAACGTATAAATAAGTTCCTTATCTTATATCTATCAATGCTCTAATATACACTAGATATGACAGGACAAGAGAGTTATCAACAAGGTTAAAAACCAACATTTAATATAATATGATATTTTAATAATAACCAGCTAACTAACACCAACTGTGATATTATTAAACAATTAATATCTTGAAAAATAAAAAAGATTATTACAATATAACAAATAAATAATTAAAAATACTACTAAAAAAAAAATTAAATACGCCTACTTCTTTGATTAGCATACAAATTTAAGACATATAAATCTGTTATACCATGAAATTAAATATATTTATTGAGTTGATTGTTCTATACAAAAGCATAGATAAAAAACAATCCACATACTAGCAAGTTGCGGCATGCTGACCAATCACAAATAATACAGGCATGGATAAATTAAGAAGAGTGTCATCAGGTTGTCCTCTTTTATCTTCAACAGTATTCAGTGGAAAGCCCATACAAATGACGGCTGCTACCTGATCAACGAGTGCAACCTGAAAACAATCTCAAAATATATTACAAATCTAACAATTAATTATATTTTTAAAATGTATCAAAAAATTGAAACATGGCTTCAATGAAATAATTCTCAGGACACTGTGGGTTTGATCCCCGCCTGGTTTATATGATATTTACTATGTAGCAATGTCGAGAAATGATTTTGACATTTCCACTCTGGTTGGTTAGCGCAATCCAGCAACCTTAGGTAGTTATCATGAGTTGTCAAAAAGGAACAAAATGCCTATTTGCCATATTAAGGTACTATTTCACTGGCGCGGTCCACGACCGCGACTGCTCGCGGTTGACCACTGCTTTAGTGGAATAGAAAGGAACCTATTTCGCTGGCGCTGCTCGGCAGTTTAGGTATGACGTCATATCTAAGCTGCCGTATCTGACTCCTCTTGAAGCAGTGGAGCTGTTGGCGGTTCGGCGGTTGTAGGTTATGTTATCATATCAGAGCATTGTTTTGATGATAACAGTCCCGTCGATACGTTTTATTTCCTATGTTTCTTTCAAGTCTGGCAAAATTATAACAAATATTGTTTAAAACTGAAACAATGCAATAGTAAATTATTTTTTTGAGGTTGAAGTAACAAGATTATTTATTTATTTATTCCACCAGTAATATTTTACAGCGAAATACAAATATACCTAAATCCAAACGATATTAAATAAATTAAAGAATCCAACAAATTTTATTTTATTAATTACTATTATTTTTCAAACTAATAATATGTAATATCAGAGGAACTTTGATGAGCATCACATCGAAATACTGATATTCCTTCTCTTTATGAACAACATTTTCTCTTCTTTTTCCAACTCAAATAAAAAAGCGGTAGTCAGAGATGTTCATTATTATAGGAAGTTCATTTTTATTCTTATATTATGTCCATCTTTTTATCTTCGAAGATTATAGGCGATATGTTCGAAGGTTATAGGCAGGTTATAACAACCCCAGTGAGCAGTTTCAGCGAAATAGGTACGCCAACAGCGGTTGGCATGGGGAAATAGCGGTCGCTGTCGTCGACCGCGCCAGCCAAATAGTACCTTTAGATCTCCCAACAGTACACATAACCTAAAAACTATTTATGACTGGCCATTTTGTTCAGGAGAGTACGACAGGAGGTGAGAAATCTCAGGTTTTACAGAACATTCTTACATAATTAATTGAATATTAGACTTGGTTTAAATTGAAGCAATGTTACAGAAAATTGGCATTTTCTCAACTGTTTAAAAATGACAGATATCCGTCTTTGATATGAAGCCACTCATATGATTTTGGATAAATTTTATTTCAATACGCGTGAGTTGGAATTTAGCCACAGTCACAGGTTTAGAATGGGCCTCTAGAAGATTTAACACCAACTAGAACAAAAACTGAAAATATGCTTATCAGAAAGATTTACCACTACACCGAAACAGAACCTATTAAACCAAAGGTGAATATTAGAACATTCATAAAAATGAATGTTCCTTATAATAATGTAAAAATTATATTAGGTAAATTATTCATAATGGCAATTTTTCTGATTTTTTTTTAATAGTCAACACACACACACACACAAAAGAAACAGTTGACACATAAATTATAATTACCTGGCATGCCAAGGCAGATCCAGAATTAAGGCCAAACAGAATGATAGGTCGTCCAACATAATCAGACTTGAGTTCTGTTAGTTTGGCCCTAGTAGATGACAGCATGTATTCCAAACTTGTAATAGCAGTTATTTTACTACTTGCAACATCTAAAAATTTTATGTAAATAATTTATAAATTAGGTTAACTTAAAAATATACAGAAGGTATGGCTAAGTATTTAGAAATAGAAATTGATTACATTTTTAACAACATATTAATTAGAATTAGCATGTAAATGTTTCAATTCTCAAAAAAATTAAAGTATACATACATGATATAGAACATACTTAAAATAGATCCTTTTTAAAGTTTTTTGAATTTTCATTTTAACTAACAAAGATAGAAAAAGTAGGGTAATTTTTTTTTTCTCAAGATATCACTTAGTTTACTTGTACATTTATCAAGATATCGTATGATTATTAACTGTATTAAAAGAAAAGAAATAAGATTGCAGCCAACTTAGCCATATAGTTAAAAATGTTAACAGGGAGATTAAAAGAGGAAATAGATAATCTAAGATCTTTTTTATTAGGATAAATATCTGAATTTGAAACTAACTGTCATTGCTTGGATCTAATTGAGAAATACAATGCATAGGTGAACATAGAATTTTTTTTTTCAGTTTTGTCTTAACTGGGCTATGGTGGCCGAGTGAGTTGTTATGTCACATCAACTAAGCAACCTTCAGGCAGAAGCAGCATCAGTTCGATTCCAGCATTGTCAAATTGAAATTTATTTCATGGCAGGGCCCATTTTAGCTAGAATAGGTTGGTTACCTATAGAATAACCCTTCTGTGAGCTAGAAATGTTTAGAAAGACAAAAAAAAAAAAAAAAAAGAATCTAAACTGTGCTTTATGAATATTTATGAATTAGGATCGTTATTGCACCGCAAAAAGTGCTTTCTATATTTTTTTGAAAATTACTTGTCCAATTATTATCCTCTAAATAATTAAAAATAGTTTTAAAAAAAAGAGATAACTAAATCGTAGTTATTGTAATTGAACTTGGAAAAAATTATATAACAATAACTCACTATTAGTAGTGACTGGAATGACATTTCCGATTTGTGACAAATACGGCAGCCACCTCTGAACCTTGCTGCTTTGCTCTGAAGAGTTTCCGTTCTGTCCATAAGGTGGTACAATGACAATCAAAGGGTTTCCGGGCAATCTTCTCTGAAAAAAAATAATCATTAGGGAAATATTTGCTCTATAAACATAACAAAAATATATTATTAATATTCACTTTATTATTATTTTTTATGATCAATATATTGACAGATATGGGGCAAAAACTTGAGCTTAGCACATTACATATATTAATACACCAACACTAAAAATAATCAGAAGACAGAAAAAACGGTGAATTTTCTAAGTTATAAACTCATTTTTCTGATACATATTTATTGCATACCCTTGGAGAAAATAAAAATAATAACAAATTAACAATAATGTTAGTATTTCATCAAGTAAACAAATTGAATATTATGAAAAATTATTTTAAATCTTATCCATAACATCGATGCTTTCAAATGAATAAGATAAATAAAATATGAGATAATATTAAAAAATGTATAATTTGATAAATATGGTAAAATATTTAATTGTTGGTTGGAAAAAATTTAGGTGAAGAATTATATAGCTTTATTTGGCCATGAACTGTAAATCAACAATATATATATTTTAAATAGATAAAGTTTCATTTTTTCAAAATTGGTTTTCTTCTGAATAAGGAAGTTTGTTTCCTAGAGTTTTCATAAGGATTTTAATTTCCTTATTTGGCTGTGGTCAAAACAACCTAATAAAGCTTGTGATTATCAACAAACAATAACTTAATTGTAAAATGAGGGCAATTAAAATATCCTTGTAACAAAAAATATAATAAATTACAGGTTTATAACAAGTTAAGCCAGTAGATGCGGGATCCCATGGTTTCTTCAACAATAACTTCAGTGCATCAGGGTTTATCTTGCTGCTGGCTGGAATTGAAATCATCCTCTCCACTAATGTAGGAATCTTTTTCTTTAATGTCTAGAAAAGCATAATAAAATTTAAGATAAAAATTTTGTAATAAGAAAAATAAAGATAAACTTTATTTTTTGCTACCTTTTTGCTTATTAAATAAAATTATAATCTATTTAATTAAGGTATGAATCTCCCTAGAAAAATAAAAAACTGCAAATTATTACACAATGGTTTATTATTTCCAAACAGTTCTATATCATATGTAACATTACTTTCAATGTCACAAAGAGGTAAAAAAATAAAAGGCAATTCCTAATGTAGGTCTAAATATATATATATATATATATATATATATATATATATATATATATTTAAATATAAGTAATATTAAAATTATTATGTTATAATGAAGATAAATTTAATAGTACGTTTTCTACATGAGCTTTATACATTGATATATTGAACAGGAATATGAGTTACCTTATCTGACAAGTCTTTTATTTCCTCACTTTTTGTAAGTTGTTCATAATCGTGCATAATCGTCAATAGACTATTGATAAATTTTGTAAAGTCTTGTCGAAAGTTATTGTATAAGTCAAAATCAGACAATGGCCAATCTGTTCAGAAGTATTGTCATAACCAATTTAGATCTCCACCTCTCATGTAATAGATCATATAATATATGTATAAACGTTAGTTTAAGTCTTGTCCGACAATAGAGCAAGTACCATCAATAATTAAATTGAACCCTTTCAACTATGATTTGGTCTGTCCATGTTCAGTGAAAATCTGCGCCAGTTTGTAATTTGTAGATTTGAGTAAGTTATAGTTGCTTTTTTTTGTTTTTGGCATAAATCTATGTAAACTGGATGACTTTTCCGAGTGAATTCCATTGTTAATACCAATTTAAAATTTAATTTTCTCTGATCTCATATTTTATATAAGATAGAGGGGGGAGGAGGGGGTTAGCATATGATGAAAATAGATCACTTTGTACAACCTCTTTCTCTAATATGTCAGCAATCTCGTTCTCTTCTACACCAGAGTGACTCCATTTTATTAGCGGGCGGGGTGGCCGAATGGGCTAACGCGTGAGCACTGCACCGCCGTTGCCCGGCAACCTGATTTATGACTTAATGATATAAAAATAGTCACAAGTTAGCGTCACGGTGCCGGAGTAGTCTTTTAAATCCCCGCCCACACCCTCTGGCCCAGGAAAACCCCGTATAGCCTTAACTCCATTTTATTTTTAATTTGAAATTTATTAGCCTGAGTTCATGAATGTTGCTTCTTAAAGTTTCGGTGAGCTAGTCGTGTATACATAGATTTAGCAACAATTGTATCAGGATCATGTTATCTGTTTGTATGAATACATCTAGGTGTAAGTCAGTTGGAAGGCCAAGAAGGTATTCTATGGCTTTTGCAACTGCGTACTTTGGGTGCCTGGTTGTTGGAACATGTGGCACCCAGCTTGTATTTGGCACTAACCATTGTCCCCTTTCATGTCCCAAAGCACCCATGTGCAGCCTACATTATTAACCTCTTTACTCCTGTCTCGTTTATATATTTGTGATATTTTTATTATTTTGTGTATATTGTATCAATAGTGAATATAATTTAGCAAGTATTGATGAGCGTAACCAGTTATTTTATAGGTTCATATTCATTTTCTATGGGATTTTGTAAAATCAGCAGTGAATACAATGGTTCAATCCGTCTAATTATAAAAAACGAAAAAGGAACATAAGAAAAAATGAAATTTCTTTCAGGCACACTCAGCCGTACAAAGATTAAAGTGTCTCAAACAGCAGTGAATATAATGCCTCAAGTCTGTCTAATTGCAGGGAATAACGCGGAACATAAGGAAATATGAAATTTCTGTTGGGCATACTAAGCGTCTATAGAGACTAAAGTGTCTCAAACAGCAGTAAATATAATGCCTTAAGTCTGTCTAATTGCAGGAAATAAATAGGGAACATAAGAAAAAAAGAAACTTCTGTCGGGTACACTCAGCCTGATACAGACATATATAGATATGATATATAGACACTAAAGTGTCTCAAACAGCAGTAAATATAATGCCTCAAGTCCTAATTGCAGAAAATAAAACAGGGGCATAAACGAAAACTAAATTTAGAATGAACAATAGGATTTTTATTATGGTTATTTCATCCCCTTTTGCATCTCTCAGAATGATTATTTCAGAAATAATTATATTGGAAATAATGCTCAAATTATTTGATCAAATAAATTATTTCCGATATAACTAAGGAAGGTTATTTAACGATTTATTTCGGAAATATTATTTCAAATAAATTCTACCCAAGTCTAAAAGAGAAGATAAAGAGACAGATGTTAATCTGGTTGCTATGGTTACCAATTCACTGTCTATTGGAATCTTTTTCCGTACCGTTAGCTAAATAATTTATAACTCCTCAGGATTTTCTCCTAATTCAATGATTCAATAATTGTTGGAAAGCTGAGTAATTGCTCTTCAAAACCATATCAAAAACTTTTAGATTTAACTCCTTCATAAGGAATAAATAAATAAAATCTCCTAATGTGTTTCTTTTTTTTTTTCCAGTTCTAATATGTTTAGGGCGGTGAGGTTTGTTGCATTTTGTACAGTTTACAATGCCCTAAATTCCTGCTTTCTTTTGTGGACAGAGGTGGAGCCATGATTAAGTTATCACAGTTTTTTTGGTTTCCAAAATAAAATCAAAGCTGCCGTGGCCTTGACAAAAATATGATTAAAAAAAATTTTTGTTTTTTAACACCAGTAAAAATAAGTATTTGAGGGCTTATCGAGGTACGAAATACAAATCTGAACTTGGTTTCTCCTTAAAAAAATATTTTAACCCACTTTAATTCTTACGGCTGATAATTGTTATCAATTTCGATGACTTATCAATTTTTTTTATATATATAGACAGAATAAAATAATAATGATTTGTTAAATACTTTTCAGGTAAAGTATTTACAAAACTTTATTTTTCTCCCAGATCTTTGTCAAAAAAGTTGATCCATATTTATAAGTGACAAACTTCATGTTTCTAGTCAACAGCAGGACATTTAGCAGGATTTTTTTGTTTTAAACATAAATTTTAGGACTAGAAAAATTAAATTTGTCACTTATAAATACCGATCAATTCCTATGACAAAGATCTCAGAAAAAAACACAGTTTCGTAAATACTTTACATGAAAAAAAAATTACTATTATTATTATATTTATTTATAAATAAAAAGTTTTTATTTATAAATAAATTTTTATCTAGTTCACAGTGAAACAATTGTCAATTACTTAAATATTTTTTATTTTATAAACTATTTCTTCAGTTATCGTTTCCTATTTATCAAAAAGCATGACTTACTGAAAAAAACACTAAACTAGGATTTCCCAGGACATTTTTTAGTATTTCTTTACCTTTCTGCAGAGAATTAGCCCTATAAACTTTTTTTGTAGGTCTTGAGGTCTGCTACTACTCCTACAAAAATGTCCCTCTACTTACAGAACAGTATATATATATATATATATACATATATAGTTTTACCATAAAATATCACCAATTTAGGCATCATCAGGGCAGAAAAACCAAGATCACACGTTGGCAAGTTAACGATTCACTTGTATGTTGGAGACTTATGACTTTATTGATTGAATTTTTCCATCTATAACCATAATCACCTTTTGTCTCTTTTTTAGCTTTATGCTTATCTTAGTTATATTACTAGTGGAATGACTTAGTATCCACTAAGTTTTGTTGGGAATGGATGTTATATATTCCTTCGAGGATTGTCATTTGTTTTGTTTTTTTAATTTTATTTAACACGTTCCAGGTAATTAAATTTTAGTTATACCGATTTTTACGTCTTATATCAGCTGTTCGATATAACCTTCCTTAGATGTTGTTAATAGAACCTTCACTTTCCTTCAGTATGTATTTGGATGTCTACTGCGACAATTTATTTTTTCTTTCTGCATATATGCGGATCTTGATTTTTCTGCCCTGATGATGCCTGAATTGGCGTAATGTTGGCAAGTTAACGATTTACTTGTTGGAGACTCATGGCTTTGTTGTTTGGATTTTTCCATTTATAACTTAATGCATATAACTTAATTTTTCCATTTATAATCACTTTATGTCTCTTTTCTAGCTCTATGCTTATTTAACTTATATGTGTATATATATATCTTCAGTTTATTCTAAAAATTTACTGGGATTAGTTAATGTTAGTTTTATTGGAGCTTAACTTTTAAATGCATAAAAATTAAGACATGGTGTAAATTTTGATTATAAAGAACATAAACCCAATTATAAGTCCAAAAAGTTACACTGAGTACAGAATATTATTATTAGAACTTATCAGAAGAGATTAACCTTTGTTATTCCAAGATCCAAAGACTCTATAGGCTTTATTTACCAACAAAATTCTTTAAGTTTTATTTTTTATTACTACTATTAATGGTAGATGGTCAATTAATGTGCACCCATAATTTTGAGAGACATGGCTTTGGGCTGAGGGGACCTCAAAACCTTTATTTACGTTAAAAATTCAGAATCAATATTTTTGGAGATCATAATATTTTCATTATATATATATATATATATATATATAATACTTAATTAATTGGGCTGGGGTAGCCATACGGGCTAAGGCGCTTGCAATAGGTAATCGAAGTTAAGCAATGCCCGAGCATGGTTAGCACTTGGATGGGTGACCGCCCACACCAAGGAAAGCCACACTGCCCTAGATTCCTCTCTCAGCTATATGAGGCCTGTCAGCCTACTGGAGGCAACTCACAACGATCGGGAGTAGGATTGATGACCCTACCCTGTACTTTAAATCAGGAATCGGGAAGTAGTCTAGGAGACCACATCCCGCGGTCAAAGATCTTCATGGACTATAAAACCAAACGAAAAAAAAAAAATAATAATAATACTTAATTATATATATATATATGAAATATATATAATATATAAGTGAAATAAAAAAGCCTAAATGAGTTAAGTATTTTGTTATTTACATAAGTATTAACAATAAAATTATTTAGGCTTAAATTTTATAAATACCTGTAAAATGTCAATGTATGCTACTAAGTAATTAACTTCTAAAACTTCCAATAAAAGATTATGTAGCCAATGAACTAGTTTTTGTTTCCATGCTATTGAAGCCATTATTGTTCTGAAACGTCGAGCAGATTTATCTAAAGAGATTCTTCTAAGAACTGGTTCATTCCAGTTAGAAACAAATGTCAAGCGATTAAGACGCTCCCAATTCAGAATTCTAATAACTCGTTCAAATATCCTTGTTTGGGATAAACCCCAGTCACTCCTGTAAAACAAAAAGAAAATAAAGTAAAGAAATAATTTAAAAAGAGGAAAAAGCTGTCATTCAGACACATAAATAAAAAGTAATAACTTTTCTAATTTTAAGGAAAATAAAGGAACGCAATAGTTTCAGAATAAATCCAAGAAACTAAGACCATCATAACAGAACAAATTAACAAATAATATGAAAAAAAAGAATGAAATTTACTTTGCAAACTATTTCTAAAAGGATTTTACTTTGTTGGAAACTTATTTATTAAATGAATGAGTGTTGTATTTTTTTATAGTGTAACAAGTACACATCAACACTCGTGTAAAACACCAGCCCTACTAGACTTTTTTTTAACTAAAGGACTACGGACCATACATTACACCATAAATACTCAATCTTTGCTCTGACCATTCCCTTATAAACTTGGTTATCCTAGATAAGCCCATCAACCTTCCACAAAACCCAAAGCTCACCAATGGAAAAATGGATTGGGATGCTTATAGAGCATTTCTGGATTCAGAACTTTCGATCCCTGGCTCAATTAAGAAGAAGAACTAGATGAGGCAGTGGACAAATTTAACAAAAGTGTCCAAAAAGCTGCTTGGGTATCATCTCTTCCTATGTCATCAAAACCAGAACACTTGCCTAGATATCCTTAGTATATAAGAGACTTGATCACCACAAAGAGAAGAGCCCGTAAGGTATGGCAGACTGTCAGACTTCCCTCAGATAAAAGATCATTTAACAGACTGAATAATGAACTTAAATGACTAATACAAAAATTCAATGCAACAAACTATGATGCTTATTTGAGTAGCATATCGACTGACGATGAAAGTTTGTGGAAGTATACCAAGAATTTGTAAAACATCAAGAGGGGTCAGTACCCCTGCGAAAAGAAGATGGTTCATGGGCTTTGTCAGATAGGGAAAAATCTGAACTATTTACTGACCATCTACCATCTGTATTCACACCATTTACTGACTACATGAACACAACACATAACATGACACCTTAGTACTGAATACTCTAGATATACCACTACCATTGACATACTAACGAACTGACAGATAATACCTGACCATCAGTTTGGCTTTCGCACATTTCATTCAACTACACACCAATTACACAGAGTTACTGACTACATTGCTGGAGCACTAGGGCAAAAACAATAGGCAACCGGCGTGTTTCTAGATGTTGCCCAGGCATTTGATAAAGTCTGGCACCAGGGACTGGTCTTTAAATTCAAAACTATACTACCTCATGCATATTATTTCATTTATGTATATATTCAGTATTTCCTTTTAGACAAATGTTTCTCTGTCCGACACGGCTTAAAAACTTCCTGAATTCGACTAGTGTCAGCAGGAGAGCCTCCAGGATCAATATTGGCTCCTTTAATTTACATTATCAATACACATGACATGCCTACCACCTCAGAAACATTGACTGCTACTTACGCTGATGATACAATAATTTTAAAAAAACATCACGACCCCTAGCTTCACTGAATTTACAAAATCACTTACTACAATTACAAAATTGGTATTCACTTTGGAAAATTAGATTAAATCATGACAAATCACAACATATAACATTTACGCTCTGACGAGACAGATGCTCACCATCGGCGACAACCAAATCCCTCAGACGGACACTGTAAGTTATCTCGGGCTAATATTCGACAGAAGGATGACCTGTGGCCCACATGTTAAAATGAAACAAAAGACTTTGAACAAGCGACTGAAAATACTATACTCACTTTTTTCCAAATCAAAACTGAAAATCAAACAAAAACTAAACACATACACTTACCTACTTAAACCCATATGGACATACACCTCACAAATTTTCAGTTATGCAAAAAAGACACACTTACAAAAAGTACAATTATTTTAATCCAAAATTTTAAGACTAATAACATCAGCTCCTTGGTACATAAACAACAAAACCTTACATACCGACTTACGACAACTATCGACCAACACATACATACTCTCTACTCCCGATTTCATCTTGAGCTACATGGAAAACACAACAAACTTTTCAACGAAATGGCCACAGCTAAAATGTCCATCAGAAGAATACTAAAGAGGAGCTGGATGAGAGATCTCCTTTTCTGAAGTAAGATAGTAAACCAAGATCAGGAAGAGGTACTGCTGGGTACTATTCTGCTTAATGTAAAGGCTGAGACAGGTGTGGATAAAAATATGAAGAGAAAAAAAAAAGTTATAATTCTGGTAATTTGTATGGAACCATGGATTATTCTCATATTCTTAAACTAATATCAGGATAAATATCATATTCTATTAATTATTATATAAGCCTTTCAGTTGACATTTTCGTTTAGTTTCAGCAATGCCATTTTAGATAGATAGATAGAAAAAAAACTTTATTCTGGGACTAAGTCCCTTCAGAATAACAATAATGTACAAAATAATAGAATATTACTGGCCTGAACGTTGAAACAATAAATAAAATTGATAAAATAAAATAAAAAGTAAAGAAAATCTTAGGTGCACAAGCTATATACAAACAGATAAAACTATGCACAGAGCATTTAAAATTATGAACAAAACAATTAAAACTATGAACGAATCACTTGAACTATGAACAAAATTATATTTAAGGGTTGAACAACATAAACATACACTTTGAGAAATGAAGAACGAAAAAGAGATACAATGAGTTCATTTCATAAAAAAAAAAAAAAAAAACTTTACTTGAATATATATATAAAAATAAACAGTTACTTATAATTGAATAAAAAAAAATATAAAAAAAAAAATGTATGTATTGAAATTCCTACGTCGATAGTAGGAAATGCATGTACTATCTATTACCAAGTGTTATGATTATATGATTGCTACTCAATACATATATAATATCAATAGTTAGCTGGTATCAGACTGTTTTTGGAACAGGAATTGGAATAGGAGGTTTTTGAATGTATACAGGGAAGGGGCATGTCGAATTTTGATCGGGAGGGAATTCCAAAAGTTGACAGAGCGGGCTATAAAGGAATTTTGGAATGAGGCAGATCTATGAGAAGGGATGTATAGGTCAGAGGGTCGGGATCTTGTAGTGAGAGAATGGATTGAGGACTTAAATTGGAGAAGGTTGTAGGCATAAGAAGGACGATGATCGGTAATGATTTGATAAAGGAAAGTGCCAAGGAAATATTGTCTTCTTAAGGAGGGGAAGAGCCACCCTAACTCAGTGTAGTGGTGGGAGACACGGGAGCGTCTCGGGGTTCCAATTACAAATCTTACGAAGCAATTCATAAGTCTTTTGAGTCTATCACGCAGTTCCACCGAGAGGCCATCGTACACCACACAGCTGTAGTCAAAGTGGGGAAAGATGAGAGAGGAAACTATGAGTCTACGGGTATTTTGGGGTAGAAGATGGCGGAAGTGATGGAATAGTTTGAGGGTAGAAATTGCACGGCGGGATATATGAGAGATATGGTGATTCCAGGAAAGGGTTTGATCTATGAGAAAGCCTAAATTTTTAACAAAGGGATAGAAGGTGATGGGGTGGTTGTTTAGATAGAGTGAGGGAAAGTTGGTGTGGGATCTAAGAAGGGGCTTGGAACCAATGAGAATGGCCTGAGTTTTGGCAGCATTTAGCCTTAATCCATTTAAGTTGGCCCAGGCACTAATTCGATCTAAATCTTCTTGAATTTTGGCAAATGCCACCAATAACTCAGCGGGAGAAAAGGATAAATAGATTTGAGAATCGTCGGCATAAAGGTGGTGGGAACAATGGATAATTGAATCATTTAGGTCATTAATATAAGAACTGAAAAGAAGAGGAGACATGCTTGAACCCTGTGCAACTCCTGAGGATAAAGGAAGGTAGGCAGATAGAGGTTGATTAGGTATGGAAACTGCTTGGGTTCGTTGTGAGAGGAAAGACTGGAACCAAGAGATGGAACTATTGGAGAAGGATAATGATTTTAGTTTGTTGAAAAGGATGGAATGGATAATGGAATCGAAAGCTTTGGAGAAATCAAGCAGTATAAGTATGGTTAGTTTTTTGTCATCTATTGCAGTCTGGATATCACTAGTAATTTTAATCAGAGCAGATTGTGTAGAGTAGCCAGGACGGAAGCCAGATTGGAGAGGATCGAGTTGGTTGGATTGTTCAAGGTAGTTGGAAACTTGGGATTGCACTAACTTTTCTAGGGGTTTAGAAAGATTGGAAAGGATTGATATTGGGCGGAAATCTTCGGGAGAGGATGGATTAGGCTTTTTGTTTAAAGGAAGGACAATGGCTTTTTTCCAAGAGGTCGGGAATATTGAATTCTGCAGGGAGAAATTGTAGATGAAAAGGAGTGCTGGGAGGATTTCAGGGAGACATAATTTTATTAGTTTGATAGGAATGCCATCTGGGCCTACGGAATTGGAACGGGATTTCATTATAACGGTAATAAGGTCTGTGGGAGAAATGTCGGAAAAATAAAAATTATTGTCGTTAAAAGGTACCTCTGGAGAAAAGCCGGAAGGGGATGGTAAAGAAGAGGTGGAAACCGATATAAAGTGGGAGTTTAGGTCATCAGGTGATATTGGGAAAACTGAGGAAGGGGATCTAGAAGGTTCACAGAGGGAAAGCTTACGAAGTAGAAGCCATTTTGATTTGATATCAGGAGCTGAGGAAAGGGCTTCGTGAAAGTAGTTCGCTTTCGCTTGTCGGATCCTTGTCTGTGTCGTGTTACGAAGCACTCTGAATATTTGATAATCATCTGCAAGCCTAGTCCGTCTGAAGCGTCTGCGTGCAGCGTCGCGTCTCTTCTGCAGATCCTTAATTTCCTGACACATCCAAGGAGCAGGACGATGACGGAAAGTGGAGGTTTTGAGAGGAGCGTGGGTATTGAGTATATTGAGAAGATTGGTGGTGAGAATATCAACCATGGTGTCGACAGAGGAGCAATGATATATTCCATTCAAATCCAAATGTTACTAGATCAGGTAATATTTTTTCTCGAGTAAGGGTATCCAGTTGGCGGAAAG